TTTTTTTTTTTTTTTTTTAAATAATGGAGGTGACGGCTGCAGTGGAGTGCGGGGCTGCCCGGTTTGGGCTCTGGTCAGGGCTGCACTGCGGCCTCTCCTCCCTGTTGCCCTGGTCAGAGCCTGTGGTCGGTGGGCGCTCAGTGGATGGATGGCGCGGTCCTCCGCCATAGATTACCGTTCCCCGTAGCCCCTGGCCGAGACCGTGCTCCGGTCAGCTGGGCTTCAGATCTCCTTGTCCCAGGTACAGCAGGAAGGCGGCTCCGACGCGGGGCGTGGAAGCGGGGCCACGGCCCGGCCCGCACTCGGGTTAACTGCCTGTGTCATGTGCTCCTTCGCAGGTGCCGACCAGAGGGCGGACCTGTACCTGGAAGGCAAGGACCAGCTCGGCGGCTGGTTCCAGTCGTCCTTGCTGACGAGCGTTGCGACCAGGGGGAAGGCCCCCTTCAAGTGAGTGCACTGCAGCCGACTGAAATGCTCGTTGCAGCGTTTTAGACAGCGGACTGTCTCGGGGCTGACAGCTGTGCAGCAGAGGACAGCACTGCTATGTGTGCAGTCGGCTGACGGCTGTGCTGGCCACCTTGGATGGAGGGATTCACACGCGCGCACATGCACCCTCATCCTCTGCGGCTTCCAGGGCCCTGTCCCGGGGAGGGCGGTCACCGTCCTGCGTTCCGTGAGAGGCGGGCGTGAGTCCCAGGGGAGCAGCCTTGGGCTGAGGTGCACGAGTGGCGGATCTGTCCGAGTGGCCTGTGTCATGTTGCCTTCGCACAGAGACGCACACGCGCGTAAGTAAGACTGTCAGGTGCTGCAGTTTCCTGTTGAGTACAGGAGAGGGATAGGGGCACTGGTCCCCCTGTGGATTAGACTGGAAGAACGGGCAGCCCTGCGCATGCACATGGATTTCTGTGCCACACCAGGCTGCGGGAGGGCCCGAGATGCCACTTCACCAGGGCCTCCTGCTCTCCTCTCACAGCTGCTTTCCTTGCTGGATCGGCAGCAGAGCTGTTTCAGGTCCTGAAATAGCTTATGACTTTTGTTGTCTTACCAGAACACAGTGTTTTGTCTTGGTAGTGCTAGAGACTGAACCCAGGGCTTCCACAACGAGCTCCATGCACAACCCCTTACAAATGTTTTTACTGTGAGACAGGGCCTCCCTAAGTTGCTACATTCCTAAGGCTGGGCTCAAACTCGTGATTCTCCTGCCTCATCCTCCTAGAGTGGATTGTACAGGCGTATTTACAGGAATGCTTGTCGGGCCCCACCCTGTGTTTCTTTCTTAGGTAATATTTAAAAACAAACACAGCATGGGCCCTGTTTTTCAAGCTGTCTGAGTCAAGGTGGCTCTGAGGGACACAGCCCCTCTAAGGCCACGCTTTCCCCTTTAACGTTCAGTGGGGAGAATGGAATCGGTGCCTCTCCGGCGGGAGAGCCCTTACCCAGCTTGGTGAGGTCCGGGGTCTGCACAGTAAAGAGGGTCGGACATGCGAAGGCAGGAAAGGCCGCTCGGGAGCGGAGATGGCTGCAGGGACCGCGCTTGTGGGCTGGGCTCGGATGGCCAGGAAATGGCCAGACGCTGTGTGCTCATCACTGAGGCGAGGATTTGTCTCCTCAGGACAGTCATGGTCCATGGCTTTACCCTTGGAGAAAGGGGAGAGAAGATGTCCAAGTCCCTCGGCAATGCCCTGGACCCTGACGTTGTCATCAATGGGGGACAAGTAGGTGTTACCCTAAGGTTCCTGTTAGTTTTGTTTGAAGGGCCCTTCCTACATTGACAGTCCAAACTCTTTATTTGCTTCATTGTGTTTTGTTTTCCCTGGTACTGGGAATTAAACTCAGGACCTTCATTTGCCAGGTAGGTGTGGCAGGGTTGAACCCTGGCTCCCAAACTCTATAGTCACTTTAGTGTAAAAACACAGCACGCCTTTTGCACTCACAGACGACGGTGCCCCCTCTGGCGCTAGCCCCTCAGGAGGCTGAGGCCGGACGGTTGAGCCTGGGAATCCAAGGCCAGCTTGGGCAACACAGTGAGACCCCGTCTCCCAAATAAAAGCAGTGTGCTTTCCTGTGTTTTAAATCTCGGTGTGAGACAGGGAGGAACCGGGTTGTAGCCCTTTGACCCGTTCCAGTCGGCAAGGTCTCAGTTCCCTGAGCTGCCGGGAAGGGAAAGCCGATTTCCCAGGCCAGCGGGAATGTTGTCAGGAAAGGGTGTGCGTGGTGCCGCATGGGAGCTCGGGTCCTGCGCTGAGTTGGAGGCAGGACGGGCTGGGTGCTGGTCACGCGTGTGGTGTGGAGTTGCTGTCCCTGCGCTCACTCACGCCCGTTCTTCACTGTCCCCTCCATCCTGTCCCATCAGGATGGGCTGCTTCTGCGTGTGGGTGCTGGGGACAGGAAAAGAGCAGGCGGAGCTGTCCCCGCACCCTGTGTGTGGCCAGGCGGAGGGGCAGGACCGCAGCGTCCCCATCTCTGGCGGTGGCTCTCGACGCAGCCCGCCTTGCTCCGCAGTGGGTGGCTGCTGTCCCCCGGCCCTGGAGTTTCTCTGGGTTTCCCAGAGCTGGGGCCCAGCCGCCAAACCCGACCCTCTGCTTCCTGTTTCCGATGTGAAGGACCAGAGTGCGGAGCCTCCGTACGGGGTGGATGTCCTCCGCTGGTGGGTGGCTGCGTCCAACGTCTTCACGGAAGTGACCCTTGGGCCCTGTGTGCTGAGCGCAGCCAGGGACGACATCAACAAGGTCAGCGCCAGAGCCTTCTCTGGGGCGGGGAGGGGTCAGAGCGATAAGCACGCCGTTCCCCTTTATCCAGTGTAATGCAAAGTTACACTGACTTCGTATTTGCCATGTGCCCAGTGACTTGACATTTGTTCCGCTTATCTTTATCTTCACCTGTGAGTAAAGGGAAACACCATCTTCCCTGCACGAAGGTGAGACGTTGACAGGTGGTTTACGCAGTTAGAAAGGAACGCAGTGAAGACTCAGTCCGTAACCCACAATCCGGCGTCTGTACAGTTGGGCTGGGAGAACGAGTGTGTGCATTACTATCTTATTCAGGAAGCGGGGATGGAAGCTAGAGAGCCATAAGTGACTTCTGGTGGAACCTGAAGGTCGCTTACGTGGTTTGTAACTGTCCCTGCGCCTCCTCGGCACAGCTTAGGAACACACTCCGCTTTCTCCTGGGAAATGTCGCCGGCTTCGCCCCAGACACAGACTCCGTGCCTGTGGACCGCATGCACGTCATCGACCAGTACATGCTGCACCTGCTGCAGGGTTTGGCGAGCAAGGTGGGTGTGAGGCAGGGCTGAGGGGACGGGGTCTGTCGTCCAGGTGGCACCGGCCTCGCTGGGAAGCCCCCATGGCTGTCCTGGGGCCCAACAGTTGCTGAACAGCTGCTCAGCACCCAGAGCCGGGAGGGAAGGTGTCTGCGGTAAAGGGACGTCACCGCAGTGGCCCTTCCTGGGCCTGTGCAGGTGCTGGGCTTTCTCGCTGCCGTGGGGAGGGCTGTGCCTCGGTGCACGGTCAGGGCACAGGTCAGGTTTTGCTCAAAGCAGAAGAACAAGTGAGGGCTGGGATTTACTTCGGGGCTGCTGCCTCCTGCCTCGCAAGCGCAAGGCCCTGAGTTTGAGTCCCCGGTACCAAAACACCACCCCCAGAAAATGAGTGAACATGAATGAATTGTTGGTAGCCCTCACTCTGCTGTTCTAAAAATGGTATGGTTTTAGGCTAGGCGTGGCACATGCCTGAAATCTTACACGAGGCTGTGAGACGGGGGAGGATCACTGGGAAGCAGGTAATGGTATGGTTTTAGGCTAGGCGTGGCACATGCCTGAAATCTTACACGGGAGGCTGAGACGGGGGAGGATCACTGGGAATTGCAGGCAGCGTGGGCTGTGAAGCAAGACGGTCTCAAAAACCCAAAGTGCTGTGATTTTTAGCATGTAAATTAGCAGGCCGGCGTCACCTGTACGACAGTAGAGCTCTTGCCTGGCGTGCTCAGGTCCCGCTCCGTCCTCAGCACTGCATAAACCCAAGCTTGGTTCTCTGCGCGGTGCTGTTCTTTTGTAGCTCTCATGGTGGAAGGGCCTTCGGTATACTGTTGGATTTGGTGTCCAGAAACGAGCACGAATTGGAAGCTCGGTGTCCACACTTTGACCCTGTTCTCCAGGTCACCGACGCCTACAAGCAGTATGACTTTGGGAAAGTTGTCCGACTGTTGCAGGCATTTTACACCAGGGAGCTCTCTGGCTTTTACTTCAGCATCATCAAGGACCGGTGTGAGGCACGGCAGGAGGGAGGGAGGGAGGCCTTCCCTAGCGTGCCCATCTGCTGCATACTCTGGAGCAGGCTCGTGGGTGACGGGAAGAGGCGGGTCCCGGGGTCGCAGACCCCAGGGGAGGGGATGCGGGGCAGTGTCCTCGGCAGAGGGCTAGACGCCGTTTCCTGGTGACGCCCGCCCGTCAGCACGTGGGTGCGGCTCACCCAGGGCACCGCAGGGCACCGGTGCATGCAGCAGGCCTGCTGAGCAGGGTGCTCTTGCCCAGGCTCTACTGCGAGAAGGAAGATGACCCCAAGCGCCGCTCCTGCCAGATGGCGCTGGCCCAGATCCTGGACGTGCTGGTCCGCGCCTTCGCGCCCATCCTGCCGCACCTGGCCGAGGAGGTGTTCCAGCACCTGCCCTACGGCTCAGGTGAGGGCGCGGGACGGGAGGAGGCTCTGCAGCAGCTCTGCTGACGTGAGCGGGAGCTTTCCCCGTGAGCCCCGGGAGCGCTGGACAGTGCCTCTGCGGCTCCCTGGAACGGGAGGCCCGCGAGCCTCCGTCCGCCTTTTATCTTGCAGAGCCCGAGAGTGTTTTCCGCACAGGCTGGATCGGCACCAGCTCCGTCTGGAAGAAGCCCGGGCTGGAGGAGGCGGTGGAGGGTGCGTGTGCTATGCGAGATTCGTTTCTCGGCAGCATCCCGGGCAGAAACGCTGCAGAGTACGAGGTCGCCATCGTGGTCGAGCCGGGCCTGCTCTTTGAGATCATGGAGGTACGTGCCGGAAGCACTCCGCAGCTCCACCCGGAGTCGCTTTATAAAAACGCCTGAGGTTTTTGAGGTACTGGGGATTCAACCTGGAGTCTTCACACTGAGCTTTATCCCCGGCCTCTCTTGGGGAGACAGGGTCTCCCTAAGTTTGTTTCCCAGGCTAGACTAGACCTTGCGCTCCTCCTGCCTCAGCCTCCTCAAGGGCTGGGATTCTAGGCCTGCACCTCCACACCTAGGTGATAAACTTAATTGTTAATTAGATGTAGGGTTTCAGTCTGATCCTGATGTTTCTCTGCTTCTGTTTCCGGCATCTGGACGTCCTTTCTGGGCTCCAGGGGTGGCCTGTTCTGCACCCTTACTTGACAGGGCCAGGGCCAGGGCCAGGAATGCTGTGGTGCAGCTCCCTGGAGCTGGAGCTCAGCGCCTCGGGTTGCCTAGAAGGAAGTGACAAGATCACCTGCGGCAGCTGCATGAGGACACCTGGCACGGGGCTTGGTCACAGGACCAACTGAGACCCAGGAACGGGCGCCGCCTGTCCCTTGAGTCACAGGGCTTCGGCCAGGTTGGCCCGGCAGCCGGTGGCCAGGACGTTCCCCGGGAGGGAACTGGCACACACGCTGCCTGGAAGCTTCACTGGCAGCAGTTGGTGACCTCGGTGAAACGTGAGCAGTGGAAGGAGAGGAGACTGCAGGGTGGCAGTAGCTGCAGGCAGCTTTTTCTTTCTTTAAAGGAATGTTTGTTTTGGCTCCGGACTCTCTTGGGGGATGGGAAGTGGGCTCAGAGGCGTACAGGCGGCCAGTGCAGGGAGGGCACTTTGTGGGTTTTCCTGCTGCTCGGGTGACACCGGAGCCTCAGCGCCCGCCTCAGTCGGTGGCGAAAGCTGTACCTGGGCTGTGCCGGGCCTCACCGCCGCTCTGTGCTCACTTGCAGATGCTGCAGGCCGAGGAGACATCCAGCACCTCGCAGCTCAGTGAGCTCATGATGGCCTCGCGATGTACGCTGCTGGCCCAGGAGCCCCGGCAGAGGCCGGCTGGCACTACCGAACTGGCGGGCACCTTCCTCATCAACCTGGAAGGTGAGGAGGGCCGCCGCTTCCCATGGGGGCGTCCCGGTCCCGTGTGTGCCCTGCCCTCCAGGCCTGCGGCCGCCTCCCCAGTGCCCACTGGGGTTCGCTGGGCACCCTCGTGGCCACCTGCCTGCCCAGCCGGTGTCTGGTGGGGGCGGCCCCTCCCGACTGCGGTTCTGTGCTGCCTGAGGCCGGGACGTCAGCGGTGGCAGCTGTTTCTCTGCCCATCCTGAGCAGTTAGTGGGTACGCCACAGCTGTCCGCAGTCCCATATGTCGCCTGGCTTCCCTGTCTCCGCGCTTAGCTGAGCTCCTGCACCCTGGCCCTGCGGCCCTTCATTCGGCCTGTTCCCGCTGTAGGTGAGCAGCTGAGTAGCTGAGTCAGACTCCCGTTTGTTCCCAGGTGGCGACATTCGGGAGGAATCCTCATACAAAGTGCTCGTCACACCGGCGACGCAGGAAAAGTGCCCTCGCTGCTGGAAGTACACGGCTGAGTCCCCAGACACGCTGTGTCCTCGTTGTGCTGAGGTGGTGGGCGGGGTGTAGCACGAGGGCTCCCCGGCACTAGGCCCAGGGGTGTAGGTGATTCCCGTGACACAGAAAGCCAGGCTGTAGTTAAGGAAAGGTGAAGGATGAAGGATGGAGTAAGAGTCAGCCAGATGTGGAGGCGCACACCTTCATCACGGCCTTCGGGAGGCCGAGGCAGGAGGATCGCGGGTTTATCACCAGTCTCGGCTGCAGTGAGACCTTGCCTCAAGAAAAATCAAACGCTAGAGTTACACGCGTGCCTTCACTAAAGTGAAGGGTTGTACATAAACGTGGAAATGTGTTGCAGGCCCATTGATCCTGTGGAATGGACACAGGCATAGATGGTTTTATATTTTCTAAGAATCTTTTTGAGTGTTCAGCTCCATAATGTAATAAAAGCACTCTGAACAGCTGCCGCTGGTGCAGGCTGTGGCTGTGGCTGCGGCTTGGAGGGGGAAGCTGGGAGCAGATTATGCGCACAGGCGCACAGTGTGGGCAGGGACTCAGTCTCTCCGTCCGCCTGCCTCAGCAACTTAAATACTCAATTGGATTTCTTAAAAGAGCAATTTAAATTGGCTGTGCTTTTAGATGAGTTTTTCTAACAAAGGTGAAACTTCACCTCCCTTTGCAAGAATCTGAAATGGGCAGGGTGGACAGGGTGGACACTGACGTCTCCCTGCATCACAATAAAAGGCCTTAAGGAGACAGCAAAGCAAAGCACTGGCATCCTAGTGTGTGCTGGGCTCCGGACAGCTCCCAGTAGGGCCTGCGTGCTTTAGCCCGACTGGTCTTGGCACCGCAAACCACAGAGGAGTAAAGCAGGGCTCAGGTCTGGAAACGCAGAGACCCCAACCCCAGAGCCTTCTCGAGGCACCGGAAGCACTAACCGAGCAGGTGCAGGGGAGGGGAGGGGAGGGGAGGGGAGGGGAGTCCCTGGCCCGAGGCAGAGGTGGGGACACCAGGAAGCCTCCGCCCCGTCCTTTCCTAAGGACTGGTGAACACAGGCACCTAACAGTAGGAAAAATAAAGCTGACTTAAAACTTTGTCTTTATCTTTGTTTTTACATGATAGTTTTACAAGATAATACATTTTTACAATTAGCCCATGTGGATACAACTTTGCAACTTGGCAGAAACAAAATTTACACCGGAACTGACTGTGCTGGTTGATGCACGGCAGACAGACAGTTTTGGCAAATGGATCCCAGCTCCCGCTGGCTCCCTTGATGACGCAAGCCCTGTCTTGTCCAGGACAGGGCCGGTGAAGCGGGTGACAGCTGTCCTCAGCCTTCTGCAGGAAGTCAGCGGGAGCCTGACCTGGCTGACAGGCGCACACACCTAGATTCAGTTATAGCAGTGACATCCGGGTAAGACAGAATCTTACAGTAAACGCAGTCTGTAAGTCAGAGCCAGTTTTAAATAGCAAAGTTGAACAAGAAAGCTACTTGTCTTTGAATTAAAAATAAACAGTAAAACATCTGTATTAGTTCATCTTTAGCATCAACTGTAGATGTGGTGTTGAGCCAGGATTGCACTTTTTAAATTTTTATCTTACAAAAAAGGGGCACATTCCATAAAATCCTAGGTGCTGCTCTGTGACTGGCTGTGCACTGCCCACGCATGTGGGCCGCTGGGCCCGGGTGCTGTCAGGACGGGGGCAGCGCCAGGGCTTCCATGGCCTCAAGGAGGTGCAGGGCCAGGCCGTACTGCCCGTGCTGCTCGGGCAGGAGCTCCACCACCTTGTGCACCAGCCTGGCTGTCACGGCGATCGGCACACCTGTGTCCTGCAGGTCCTGGGGGCTCTACGGGCGGACACGAACCCCGTTAGGCAGCAGTGGCCAGGGGGCAGCCGGACAGCGACTCCCGCCCGGTGCCCCCGCCCTGGCCTCACCATGGCCTTGAGCCACGTGCACAGCGTGGGTGGCAGCCGCGCCAGCAGCTCCATGCCCTCCCGGCTTTGTGTGTGCAGCAGTGCGTGCGCCAGCCTCTGCCCGGTCAGCACCAGCAGCTGGGAGGCCAGGACCTCTTTGTCGTGCACCTGCAGGATGGCCTGAGGGGGACGGAGGACACAGTTCTCCCCCAGGTGCCCGGCACCCTGGACGGCTGCCCTTGGTGCAGCCCCAGCGTCACCAGGCCCAGTGCCCAGGCCCAAGCCCCCGCCCAACTGTCCCCTCGCAGCCCATCACGTGACTGGCGCTGGGCTGCTTTCCCACCGCTCCGTACCTCTTCTCCCAGGTGGTCGGCGCCGTGGCTGTACAGCTCCCCCACGTAGTGCCTTCTGACCACATCCTCGCTGACCTGCAGGTGCTGGGCTAGGTCCACGGCCAGGGCCGGCCAGTCCCGGTCCTTCCCAGAAGCCGCCTCTGCCGAAGGCTTCCTGTCCTTTGGGGCTGAATGCTGCGCCTGGACGGCGGCACTGACAACTTTCAGCAGGAACTGGAAACACACCACAGGGCCTTGTTGGTACGTTTTCCCAGATACCGAACCAGGACTCTGGCTTCCCTGTCAGCCGCGTTTCCGTGAAAGCCATCTTTGCTGTCAGAACAGGCACGGGTGACTTCCGAGAAGATGGCCCAAGAACTCTGAGGGCAGCATGGGGGTTAAGGACCCTGGAGCTCTGGCCTCCCGCCCTCCCTCAAGGTCACAAGGATGAAATCCAGAAACTAGAATTACCTGCTGTCGAACAGAAATAAAATTGGGATCCATCTCCCCACTAGGTAATAACTGGATTGAGGTTAAGTCTTTGAAAAAGGCATTTTTTCCCTAGAGAAAAGAGGTCAAGAGAAGCGCTGAGTGGATTCGGGGAGAAAAACCATCTCGCCGTGGTGGACTCATGGCTGCTTGCTAGCTTCTGCTCCACAAGGGTCTGACGTGTATCGGCCACGTGTGGGTGCGCCGCCGGCAGTGGTGGGCAGCCTTGCACAGCCCAGAGGTCCCCTCCCCTTACGTGGCTGTCACCCAGGCAGAGTGACACGACACTGCCGAGGCTGGGTACAAAACGCTGTGGCTCGGGCTCCGGGATGTTGCTGCCCCAGGTGACCCGGAGGCGACCTGCCGGCTGGCCAGAGACTGAGGCCCAGAAGCGGACATCATCTCCGCTGCCAACCTCGAGGAGCCTGCCAGCCACGCCCGCACCACGGCCCCGGGACTTCAGACCACAGGTGCCCGAGGGAGGGCAGGTGCTGCTCGGTGCCGAGTCCTTTAAAAAGTGACGCCCAGGGCAAGGGGAGAGCGTGGCGGGAACAGGACGAGGCCCAGCCCACGCCCCAGGCGCAGCTGCCACCTCCCAGCCTGCCCCGGGGCACCGTGGAGGCCTGGAGCTGCGCACCTTGCTGTCGAAGAGGGACAGCGGCTTGACGGCCTTGAGAGCGAAGTGAGCCACAGCGTAGAGCACGGCGCCCAGCACCGAGTGGTGCTGCACCAGCAGGTAGTGCACCGGCTTCTGCTCCAGCGCCAGCTCCGCTATGGACGCGGGCCCCTCCGCCGGCAGCCACGCGTCCTCGGTGTCGAGCACGGGCGGCGGCATCTCGTCCCTGCCCACGTCGGCCTGCGGGCAGAGGCTGCATCAGGGCCCCCAGGAGCTGGGGGTGGCCCCGCCAGGGAAGGAGTGGAGTTACCTCCATCAAGGTCTGCAGGAGGTCCACGCAGCAGCCCAGGAAGGAGGTCAGCGCCGCGTCACTCATGCCCACGTCCTGTTTGTGATAAGGATGTCATCGGCCGGAGCCCAACAGGCATTCGTTCCACTGCCTGCCTGCTTTTGAGTCGAGGCACCTGCACATGTCAGCCCCTTCCTTTATCACAGAATCAACCCGCCTGGAGACTACGTTTAAAAAGTGGTACTACTATCACCTTTCAAAAATATTCTAAGCTGCATGCAGTCTCAGCAATCTGGGAGGCTGAGGCAGGAGGGTCACCATGAGTTTGAGGCCAGCCTGGGCTACAGAGCGGACCCTATTCCAACCACCAGACAAAGACACAGTTCTGAGCATGCACCGTAGCTCAGTGGGAATGCACACACACGACCCTGGGCTCAGGCCCCAGCACCCCCAAAAGTAAGCCAAAATAAGAGTTCTCTGCCCACTGGAGAGAGCTGGGCCATTCACTCTGCTTGTAAGGCTTTCGCTAGCCAGGGAGCCACGGGAAGACACACATGACCGTCCAGCCTACAAGTTCTATGAGATGGCCTGGCCTGGTTTCTAGGGACTGAACTGAACCCTTTGAACAAAACAAGGGCTTCCAGCTGAGAACTAAAGAAGGGATTCACGCTGTGGGCAGCAGCCAGGCCACTGACCCCACAGCAAGCCTCTGCTGGGGCCGCCGTGATTAAGACCGATGAGCACAGAATTCAGAGAAGGATGTGCATGTGTGCGTGTGCAAGGTGACACTCCCCACCCAGGCCGGAGCCGTTCTCCGGCGATGCTGGCTGTTTACGACTGAGGCCTCTGGCAGCTGCAGGTGCCCTGGCCATTCTCGGAGGTCTGTGATGGGAGGCGAGCACGCAGCTCACAGCCGCACCAGGCCCCTGGGAGGCAGCGCTGCGCGTGGTTACTGCACGGAGGCCCGGTTCCCCATGCGAGGAACGGCCTCGGCAGCTGCTTCCCCTGCTCACTTCCGTTGCCCAGCAGAGCAAACACAGGCGACAGGGCAGCTTGCTGTCTTGCCTGCCTGGCCAGAGGCGCACACCAGTGACACCTGGCCCAGCTTGCTACCTACAGCCTGCGGAGGTTGGGCTACACAGGGCACAGGTCCTGGCCAGGTTCCTTCACAGCTTTCTCCGTTTCTTGTTTTGGTACCAGGGATCGAACTCGGGACGTTGTGCTAGTGAGGTAGTGGCACCACTGAGCTAAATCCCCCGCTCTCCGTTTCTCGTCTTCCAAAAGCAGCAGCAGGTGGGATAAAGTTCACCTTAGGGTTAGACACCAAGGTACAAGGGCAAGTGCAGGGTCAGCAACGTTCCTCTAGCTGAGAGACTCACCCTCCGGCACAGCCTGTCCTTTGGTGACTTGCCAACCTGTGACGAAAGGAAACGAGGTGCTGCAGTAGTCAGAACTTTGACTTACAAAGGCACTGCCGCTGCACAGGAAGGCAAGAGTAACCAGCCTTAAAAACTCAATCAGCTTTCAGCAAGTGTGTCAACCTTGCCTTTACCTTGGTTCTGCTAATAGTGACACAGGTTTGTGGTGCTGCTTAAAAATGAACTCACAGATAACCCTTTTCAAAAACAAACTGTGTATTTTTGACCTATGAAGAAAACACTGACCAATCTGGCCTTCACTTTGTACTGTCAAACTGTGTCACCTTAAGAACCCAGAGGCAAACTCGAGATGGCCAGTGACAGCACCTGGGGGCTTTCGGGCTGAGTGACCAGAAAGGAAAGGACAGCAGCCAGGCTGGGTGCTGTGTGCAGGACGCTGAGGCACAGGTCCGGCTGAGCCAGTGCCGGCCGGCCGGCCGTTCTCACAAGCTCCCTGCGGGCCATGCACTCCCTGCCTCACCTGTCTTGGTGCCAGCTAACAGCTTGCAGGGGGCCCCCACAGCTCCCTGCGCTCAGCTCCTCTCCTTCCCACCACGCCACTGCCTCTGGTGGGCATGGACCCTGCCGGGGTCACGACTCCTCCCAGCAGGACGCAGGCTGCAGTTGGACCCCTCTGCCCCCGCTGAGGTGAGGCCCACCTTATCCATCAGGTACGCGGCAGCAGAAAACCTCTTCACCAGGAAAGTGGTCCACATCATGAGCGCCACACCTGGGGAGCAAGCAGACGCGCGTCACACACGGCCCCTAACCCACGTGCCCGGTGTGATTTCATCTTTGATCTCACACAGCTCTTTCGTGACAGAGTGAGCCGCGGAGGAGCACACAGCCGCAGCCAGGGAGCGTCAGAGGATTCACATATGGACCCCGAGAAGAAAAACAGCGCGGCATGATGCACAGCACGGCCACCAGGAAGGACACGGCGCGTGTTGGGCAGGGCATGGCACAGAGAACACTGCTGAGGCGGGTTTGTGCTAACCCAGCACAGCACCAGCAGCTCCACCGCTGAGCCCATACCCGAGGGAACTGAGTTCAGGAGGTGCTGGAAGGTTTTTGAGAACAGTTTAACAGCATCCAAATGCTAGAGACAATCAGGTAACCATTGGCTAAAGTGGCAAAAGTATTTTACATAAAAAATCTGAGCTTCGTAACTAGTATTTTACATAAAAAATCTGAGCTTCGTAACTGCACGTTCACTAAGGTGCGATACAAAAATGAAAATGTCTCAAGATTGGCACTGAGGCAGCATCAGTGAGCCTGTGGCCCAGGGGACACAAGAGGACGACCCTAGCGGCACCGTCTTCTGGGTAGCATTTTCCCAAGAAGCCGGAAGGACCAGAGCTCGGCATCCCAGTCCCACGCGGGCGCACCCCCAACACCGACGGCGCCATGCAGGGCTCTTACCGTGCTGCACATGCGCGCTGATGATGTGCCTCAAGTGCTCGAGGGACCTCGCCAGGAAACGCGCTTCCTGCACGCAGAAGGACAGAGGGACAGGCGGACTGGAAACTCGGGAGGCAGTGGCACTGTGGCTCAAAGGGCGCATGTGAGGTGGCGGAGCTGGGACAGGGTCTGACAGGCACACCAGCTGCCGCTATTTAAATGCAGACACCAGGCACCGCGCGCCCCTTCTCTGTGAGCCGCCGTGGCTCCGTGATGACTGTGGATACAGCCTTCATGTCGGGAGGAAACCGGGACAAGGCGCATACGTCCCGAAGGCCACAGCGGCCATGTGCTGTGATCCCGACCAGCCAAGAGGAGGCCCTGGGGCCACCGTGTCCCTGTGCCAGCAGCTTTGGTTTGGAAACACACACGGCAACGTTTCTTGTCGCTTTCCTACATGTGGATCTGGAACTGGGCCACTTGTATTCAGAAGTTATCACATCCTCACTCTCGTTCTAACTTTCCACGCCTTGACCACTGGGGGGTGACAACTCCACCCCTGTCCCGGGACCTCACACTAACGGCTAACGGGTCAGAAGCTGTCCCCGGCCGAAATCCCATTTTTACCACGTGAATGACCGCATGTTAACACACTGTCTTGGAGAGTGTAAGGGAGGGTGTTACTGCTGTTAGTGTGGGAGAGCGAATTCGCGCATCTCTGCGTTTTCTACAGAGGCACCACCTACAGACAGTAAAGACAGTTCTGAGCCGAGGGGAGTCATTCAGCAAGCCGGGGAGGCTCAGTGGCAGAGCACCAGCACCCTGGGTTTGATCCCCACCCCAGCAAAAACCAACAAAAAGGGCGATTTTCGGGACTCTGGGCAGGGAGGCCCACCGCAGAGGTGCTCCCGGCCTGTCCCGTCCTGTCCTGGTCAGCCTGAAGGACTGGCGCCCTCGTGTCAGGCAGTAAGTGGGGCCAAATGTCACAGACTGACGGGCTTCACCTGAAACCCAAATCCGCACTCGAGGCCTTGCTCCTGTCAGCCCATGCGCATCCAGGATCGCAGGGCTCAGCAGGGCCGAGGGCCACGACACCCTTCAGAGACCAGTGTGACGGAAGCCACACCTGCAGACGAGGGGCACCTGGCCACAGCGGACGCTGCCTGCACCAGAGGACAGTCAGCCAGGGGTGCTGTTTCCTGCAGAAATTCCTAAGAGAACCGAGAACGCGCCCCTCACAACCCAGCCGGGGCTGAGGGCAAAGGCCTGGCTTTAAGGGAAAGCTACGCTTCCCTCCTGGCAGTGAGCAGTGTGCTCGGGCAGGGCCTGCAAGACGGGCACAGGCAGCAGGACAGAGCCGTCAGGACAGGCAGAGGCGCTGCTGAGCCAAAATCAGCTGCCCCGGAGGCCGGGCCTCACCTCGGGGTCCCTGTTCCACTGGACCACATACTCCCAGCAGCAGTGCGCGTGCAGCACGTCCGGCTCCAGGCTGCACGGAAACTGCTCGCAGGCCAAGCGCAGCGCATCTGGAAGCAGAGGTGGTGGTCAGGCTCCTCTCAGGGAGGACGGCTGCACTGCCCCCCACCCCCAGGCCACGGCCGCCTCACTGGCCACCTGGGATGCCGCCTGTGTCCGCCTCCGCCTCCGCCTCCCGCGGGAAAGCTCTGTCAGCGCCTTCTTTGGGTTCGCCTGCGTTTTCCCCACCGCCGTCCTGATGAGCCAGGTTGAGCAGGCCAGGGCTCAGGTCCTGCTTAAACACCCACTTGGCCACGCTGTCCGCAATGCCACCTGCGGCGGAGACAAGGCAGGCAGCGTTCGGGACCGGTGGCGGTGGCGGCCGAGCGCGTTCCCCGCGGACTGCAGTGCCCCGCTCCAGCTCGGGCCTGAGGAGACGCGAAAGGCCAGGAGATCTGCAGCGGTGGCCAGGGCCGGCCGCCGTCACTTCAGAACGGCCGGGAGGGGATTCCCGGGGTTCTGAACGGGAAGGAGTGAACGTGTTCGGGGCGATGGGGAGCAGTCACCCTCGTCCCCTCACACACATCTTGAAATGCCACGCCGTGTCCCAAACCCATGTCGTTACTCTGCACAAACTACAACGTATTTCAGGAAAGACGTCTAGAAAAATGGCACAGGAAAGGAAAAAAAAAGAAGGGCGTCGTGGGGTGATGAGACGGCCGCCGCGGCAGGCAGGGCGGTCCCCAGGGTGGCGGGGCCACGCGTGC